CTGCTTCATAAAGGCTTAGCAGTGATCACACTGGTCATTCACATACCGCTCAGCCAGTCAAATCAGGCATAAGGAGCACCCACCCTTTGGTGGCAATTTCAAGCTTCATCACACATGTTTGTGGAAGGGAGTCTTCGATGCCATCAAGAAAACGACAAAAAAGTAAAGAGAATATGAAAAAAGAGCAAGGTAAGGAGCAAAGATCACAATGAGATCACAAAGAGGGTTTCTTTTCCAGCTCTTTTGGCTGGAGAAAAGAAAGAGGTTTCTGAAGAAAAAATTCACAAAATAGAAGAAACAGGTTTACAGAGAAAGACAAGAAGATATTTCAAAAGAAAAAAGGGGCTTTGTGGTAGAAGAACACTCAAGAATTAAAGAGGAGAAAAAGAACTTTCTGAGGCACCAAAGGCAGTCAAAGAAGAACTGAGGGAAAGGGTGAGAACTTTTCCCTTTCATAATGGACACTGGGATGGATGAGGGGTTCTCACCAAAATCCTCTTAGCTACTAAATCTTCCCAGAAACAGGCTCCATGCAAATACAGACCCCATGTGTGTGATTCACAGTGACCATGAAAATGCTTTCATTCAGGACTAAATTATCACTTATATTCTGCATAAAAATAAAGCAAAAAAGGAGCAACAAATAACTTTAAGTGAAAGTTTGAAAAATCATGTAACTCAGTTTGGTTCTCTCCAATTGGACAACCTTTTCAGGAGATGCAGCATGTTAAATATGAGCTGAATAACATTCTGCCATAGTCTGTTGACTTATTTATTTTGCTCTTTTCCAGTCAGATAAGACTTCTCCCTAGTCAGTTTTGGAATCTTCATGTTTGGATCCTCCTGCTAAATGGATTGCATTGGATTCCCAATATACCAAAACAGGGTGCCTTCCACAGTTAGGGCAGAAAGAGAGGTGTGGTGTATACTGTCTCATGAGCTGCAGTTTGATTAATTTTTGTATGCAAAATCAACCTTATAGGGAAACCCAAGTATAAAGATTGGAAATAAAATATTACTCCAGCATACTCTGAGGAGAGACTGAGAGAATTGTACATGTTCAGCCTTGAGGAGAAAAGACTGATGGGGTACATGATATTCCTCTATAAATAACTCAAAGAGGAAGGTCCAGATCTCTTCTTGCTGATACCACAGTGTAGGACACAGAATAATCAAGTCAAGCTGCAACAACCTAGATTCAGGACAGATATCAGGAAAAGTTTCCTCACTGTCAGAACAATTTGACAGTGGAACCAGCTGCCTAAAGAGGTGGTAGACTCTCCCACACTAGAGACATTCCAAAAAAAAAAAAAAAAACTGAGTGGGATGGTGTAACTTGGTGTCCTGCAACAGCAGAGGCTTAGACCTGAAGGCCTTCATAGCCCCTTCCAACTCTACTATTTTATGATTCTATACTTGGGTAAACTGACTGATTTTTACTGTGGATCAGCTTGTGAGCCCTGATAATGATTTCCTCCCATTCTCTGTTTTACATGCTTGTTATGGATCATTAGCTACAGCTGAATGGCTCTGTCTGCAACTATTGGAAGTACTAATTTACCTATGATCTATTTGATCTATGCTTTTAAGTATCTATTATCAGTAAAGAAATATGACACACAGATCTTAAGCAAGAATGGAATAATGAATTGGTTTGCCCAATCAATGAAGCAGTTGAATCTCTTTTGGAAAGGGTAACAAATCTTGGGTTATGTTATTTCAGGGGAAAAATCTTGTTTTGAGTATATTTGAGACTGAGTATGCTACAACACCATTTCAATAAGGGCTTACATAAATTGGCTAATTGTTGGAGGTGCAATACTTCTATTATGTTATGGAAATACCCAATAACCGCTTCCTTTTGGGAGGAGGCAATTGGTTGGATAAATTTTGTGATGGAATTTTCCTTAATAGTTATGGATACACATGTTGTTCTTAACTATCTATCCATCTCTTAAATTTAATACAAGAGCCACATAAATGGATTCTCTATGCCCTTTCCACAGTTGAGAGACTATATAATAACACTGGAAGGATAAATACTCATCTGCAATAAAACAATGATTAGAGGACTTCTGAACAGATGGGTTTTAGACACTATTCATAAATGGGTAAATATAAGGACACTGGGATGCTTTTGCTGAAGTTCATGCATAATTTCTGTTGTTAATAATAATAGCATGTCTTAGTACATATAAAATATATGGGGTTATATAGTATGTATTCACTGTAATTAATTTACTTTAGTTTCATGTAAGAAAATTGCAACGTTCTATTTTTACTGTTTTTCCTTTGTCCAACCTTTGGTTTTGATTTCAAATACACAATTTACACAATACATTTGATTTCAAATATATGTAGCAGCAACATATACACAAGAATATGTTGCTGCTACAACTCTCCCTCTATCTCTCTGAAAATGAAATGGAGTCTTCAGTCAAGTCACCTGCTCCTTCCTTCTTAGGATACCTATTTTTTCATATCCAAGAGGTCTAGCAAACATTTGACAATTCCACTGACAGCTGTCCAACCAGATTAAGCAGAAAAGGGAGATAAACCTTGCTAAACTTTTTAAATCCTGAAGGATAAAATTCCTCTACTCCCTCAGGAAAATACCAGTTAAAATCAACACAAAGGAACAATTAAGATTGGACAAGAATTTTTAAAACTAAACTAAAAATAGTTGAAAAGATAAGAAGTTCAAAAGTAAAAAAAGTCAGGAAGGTAAACCACCCTCAGCCAAAAATAGGGATGCAAAGACCTTGCTAGAAGCAAGGTCTCTTGCACTCACTGGACTTCTTTCCCATACTTGGCCCTGGCCAGAATCTAATCTGCAAACACTAAGAAAGACTAAAAGATCCCTTAATATTGTACACAGTACACTGGTATAGAAGCAGAAATCCACTAGCCCATCTGGCACATGGGTGGTGGGCAGCATGTGCTCAAGCCAGCCTCACAAACTTGCTTGCATTTGATTCCTGCCAGATATTCACATGAAGACTTGGTACAAGAAAGACTTAGGACAGAGGGAAAGGGAGCAAGAGTCCGGGGAGCTAAGCAAAGGACATCTGATGGATTCCAAACCAGATTCCTCACACATCACTACCCAGGAGCCCATCTTGTCTTCTCAGCATTTATGTCTGTATGTGTTACTATAAAACTGAGCTTGGTCAGCTTGGACTTTCAGAAAGCCAATAGCAAAATGCTAAAAAAAAAAAAAAGGTAAGTAGAATACTATGGACAAAAATCCTGAAGGAAAGAAGAGCTCAAGCAGGATGAAAACTTAAAACTGAAGCACAAATCACAAACTGTTACCATGAGAAGGAGCAATGGAGGACATTTAATGTAGGTGGTCTAGTTGCACAAGGATCCGTTTAATGAATTGAGACTCAAGAGGATTATGAATGGTCAGGACACAGTTACCAAGAAGCAGTGCACTAGAGTTGTCCAAATCTGCAAGGATGTTGTCCCAAAGGTGAAAGCTCAGAATGAGCTGAGGAGGATTTCTAAAAATGAAAAAATGTCTTATTTGACTATATTAGGAACAAGAAGATGATCAAGGAAGCAGTAGACTCTGCTACCTGAGAAATATGAGTTATTGTTAATAGGTGACAAAGAAAAGACAAAACTATGCAGCACCAATTTTGCCTCAGTCTTTACACACAAGGAATGCCATGTTCAACCTGGGACAAGCTGAACAAATACTACCATATGGAGGGATGCGCACCTGAGAATAAATAAGGACATAGTAGAAATCACATACATTTCTAGTCTTATGCTGCCAAGAAAATGTCTAGCAACATTATTTTATATATACAAGCAATTTTACTCTGAAAATTTTACCAGTTGCATTTTTTAAATAAATGTAAACTTAATTACACTCTTTGTTCCATTTAGGAAGCCAATAGCCACTATTGATATATACCTATTTTATGCCAACTGTCATGATAATTCCATAACAAACATATTAAAGAGTTGATTCAACTGGTCTGCAAGAAGCAGAGAAGGAAATCATAACTCTTTTCCTGTGAGGTCTGGAGGCTCTTGTGTTAAAAGGTTTCTCTTCAAACATGGATTTCCTGTGAAGTGCAGCAATTTGTGATTAAATGGAGGAAACAGCAGCACATAACCAGGAAAGCAGGGAATGGTTCATTGACTGGAAAATACCTATTGAGTTTGATTGATCCTGCCATCTCCAATTTTGTTCATCAGTTTTTAGAACATTAGGCGATCACCACCAGCCTTCCCTTGCCCAACTTACATCCAAGAAAAACAAAATCTGCTAAGCTACAGCTCCAGAGCTGGGAAAATACAACACACCTACAGAACTTCATTCAGCAAGGTTCAATGCTACAGTCTTTATTTCAGTTCTCTGCCACCCAGTAGCTGAATTGGTCTGTCTCAACAAACATTTTCTGACTTTGCTTGCCACAACAAACCTTTGTATCATCATGCATCTCCTATACTTCTTGAACCCACATTTTCTCTCTCCCATTAATGTCTCTCCTAGGAATCCTCTACAACAACGAGCAGATCAGCATCATCCATAAACAAAGGCTGTCTCCCTCCCCCTTCCCGTTCACCATAATGATCCTCATCCAACTATCAAGGACCTGCAAGTCATGTATCTGATTTCTTTTGCTACACACACCCCTCCCCAACACATCCTCGCTCCCAGCATGCATACATACATGCACACACACAATCACTTCTAAAACTTAAGGAGTTGGGTCAGGCCTCAGAACGTATAACTTTGCCCTAGAAGCCAAGTTGGGAATAGGGCTGTGGTTACACATTACTAAAGAGTTTGTTTGTTTGTTTTTTGGGGAGGACACTAGGCCACGCACACTCAGATATACTCTGCTGTTCAGAATGAAAACAGGTTCCAGTGAAAAATCCTGAGCCAACTTAAGCCCTTCCTAGCTATCGTTCTAACATTAGAACTATTCAAGACCAGAAAGTATCCCAACGGAGGGAGTGCTGAGCAAGACAAAACTCACCCCCTTGTAAGAGCCACACCAACGCAAAATCAGGGAGTTGTCCAAGAAGAGAAAAGAGAGTACACTCCCCAACTCCGTGCTTCCTCCTCAGCTGCTCCGCTAGCGGAAACGGGAGGGACTATAAAGCAGGGAGGAGCAAAACCCGGGGGCGTCCATGAAAGAGAGGGGAGTATGTCTGCAATCTTCCTGTTGGTTTCGTTCTCCGTTTCTCTTTACCTGAGATCCTTCCTCTTCTGAGAGACACTACTGTTTAGTTGCCGTCTGGTGATATCTTATACTTGTCTTATAAAAAGAAGTTTGTGTTGTAAGTCTGAAATGCTTGCTTCCGAAACTGCATTGGAAAATGCTTTTGTTGCCACCCCAGTTCCAAAAGTAGGAGCTGGGGAAGGAAAGAAGCTGCAATTTCCATTGTGGCTGTTCGCTCTGTACAGGAAGTTATGGCTGGAAGACGAATGGAAACTTCAATAAGGCAGGACGCGGTTTGGTTGTTCTGGAAAGGGAGCTCCAGATAACACCCCACCCCCCATGGGCCAGTTCTACCTACATTCAGAAGAAGTAGGTGTTTGAGCAGAGGCTGCAAAGCACATCTGTTCCTTTACTTGCCCTTGTGCTGAGGAGAATTAAGCCCCAGGCAGTGGAGGAGGCTGGGACTGAGGGCTTACTTAAGTTTCTATCAGTGCCCCAGGCTTTTTGTTTTATCTAGATGGCTGAAAGCAACCATATAGGTAAGATTGACAGTGTGGGGTACAGCACTGAAGATGGCCACTACTGTGCCTGTCTCTTGCCATTGGATCTGTCGTGGAGGATTATGCCCTAATGTATTTTATATTTTTAAAAGTCAAGGGAAAGTCCTTTTATGGCATTCACCTAGTAGACTGAATAAATTCTTCAGGGAAAGACCCATTCCAGGAATGTAAAAATACTGCTTTCACTTTTTTTTTTTTTTAAACTAGAATACATTTGCTCTGGGTAAATGAAAATATTGGGTGTTAAAGTCTTTCTGCTCCAACAGACTTTCTGCCTAGCATCAAACTGATTCCCTCTATATAAAGCAAAAGAATTCTGCCAGTTCCTTATTACTCTAGGATGCAGTGTATCAGGCTTCAAAGATAGGAACTCATTCAACAAAATTAGGTGTTCCTGGACCATTTCTTTATTCATCTCAAGCATCAATCCTGACTCTTCAGTTTGTACTTCATTTCTGCCTGGGAGGGGGGGCAGGGGGAGTAATAGAACTACTTTTGGGAAAAGACTGAACCATAGTAGGGATAGAGCACTTCAGCTTTTTCTTCATCATCTCTTACCAATTCAGCACCCTCACTGAGAAGTTGAACCGTCATTTCTTTTCTCTGTATTTTACTGTGAATATACTTGGAAAAACCTTTCTTGCTGCTTTTAGCATCCCTTGCTGGTGTCAGGGAATCCTAGTTGAGCAGCCCATGAGAATGTACATTCAGATCCACAGGGAGACATCTGTGTTATGAATCTTAGCATTTTTATTAGTGAGAATACCAGAAAAATCCCTCTGCAGAGACAAACCTTTACAACAGCACTGCAGGGTAGAGGTATGCCCACCAACTACAAGTTTCCAGAACATACACAGAGTGTTTTACAGGTTTGTTGTCACATACATAGGATCAGGGCAGATGATGAGGGTAGAATGAGTTCATAATGTATTAATGGGCAAAATATCAAGAAGCTGCAGTGGGGACATGACAAAATAGTACAGTAAATATCAATGAATATTGACATGGCAATCAGTAAGGCACATGAATCATAACAGGTCGTGGGTGTGAGTTTGATCATGTGATTACAATAGAATGGGAAAAACCAGTCAGAGAGACTTGTCACAGCCAGCAGAAGAATGATATATTGTTGCA